GTCTCTGGGGCATCTTCTTGATGGTTGTGATGTGGGAGGGCTCAGTCCCCTGTGAGTGGTGCCATTCCTGGGCAGCTGGGCCTGTGTTGCATAAGAAAGCAGGCTGAGCAGCAGCGTTCCTCCATGGCCTGTGTTCCAGCTCCTGCCTCCAGGTTCCTGCCTTGAGTTCCTCCTACCTTGGGCTCCCTGATGAACTGTGACCTGGGAGATGTAAGCTGAATAAACCCATTCCTCCCCAAGTTGGTAGTGGTCAGAATGTTTTGTCACAGCAATGGAGAAGAACTGGCAACTCATGTCCCTGGTCCACTCCCTAAGAAACCTGGGAAACCACCAGTCCAGATGGGAACCTGGGGTCCTGAGCTAGTCACTGTGAAGAGCAAGCAATGGGGCCTAGATAGCACTGCTATCCATCAGGGAAAGGGCAAAGACAGCCTTTGTTTCTCTTGACCCACAGGAGGAACTAGCTGGTGACTGGCAGGGTGAGGATTACAGAGAATCAGCATCTGAATGGAATCAGGATTCTTTTTGGATGAAGAGCTGGTGGATTGATTAGTATTCATTCACACCCAGGACATACCAGCATGGGGCAGCTGCTAGCTAGGTGTAGCTACACAGCACAGAGATGCAGCAGCTGTAACAGGAGTTTTCATTTGATTCAGGTTTTTAATTTTGGGGGGTCTTTTTGAAACAGGGTCTCCCTGTAGCCCCAGCTGGCCTAGAATTCACTATGTCGATCAGGCTGGGCTTGAACTCACAGAGATCTTCCTGCCTCTGCCTCCCAAGTGCTGGAACTACAGGCACGCACTACCTCACTGGGCTTTATTTTAATTTTTAAAAAGGTTTGTTTTTATTTTACATGTATTACGTATTACCTGCGTGTAAGTGCACCCGTGCCGTGCAATGCCCAAGGAGGTCAGAAGAGGGCATTAGATCTCCTGGAACTGGAGTTAAGAACAGCTAGCTGCCATGTGGTTGCTAGGATTCGAACCCGGGTCCTTTGCTAGAGTAGTCAGTGCTTTTAACCACTGAGCCATCTCTCCAGCCTGATTCAGTTGTAACTACACTGATTTAGGTGGCCACATATGGCTAGGGGCTAACTCCCTGGACGATGCAAACATGGAAATGATTTCTTTATGGTGATGAGGTGCCCTGGAAATGTGTCTGCCATGTGAAGGGAGCACTAACTCCCTGGTGTCCTGTCACAGCAGTGGCCATGAGGGAAGGTAGGTATGCTGTCACAGAACAAACTCTCTCAGGGCTTATTTTTTTCCCTTTAGATAGTGTCTCATGGAGCCCAGACTTTCCTCAAACTCACTATGCATCTGAGGATGTCCTTGAACTTCTGATCTTCCTGCCTTTACCTCCCAAGTGCTACGATTATAGGCTTGAAACATCATACCCAATTTGACTTATGATAAAAAGCAAAAAGCAGCTGGGCGTGATGGTACACACACCTTTGATCCCAGCACTCGGGAGGCAGAAGCAGGCGGATCTCTGTGAATTCAAGGCTAGCCTGGTCTACATAGTGAGTTCCAGGACAGCTGGGGCTACAGGGAGACCCTGTCTCAAAAAGACCAAAAACAACAAAAAAAGGAGCAAGCCTACTTAGGCCTTCCCACCTGGGGCCATAATGACAGATCAAAGTGAGAGGAAGGAACTGAGCTGGAGAATCTGCCTGATTCCCAGGATTATCAGAGAATGCACCCTGCTCACCATTCCTGAGGCTGGAGAAATGTTACAAGTGTTTTCATACCGTCAAGTTTACACACAATGAAAGATGCCCAAGTGGAGCTCCCTTTACAAAATACTCTGTCAGAAAACTAGAAGATGATGCCTGACATTTAAAAACAATTAGCATTGCAGGCTAAGGAAAATCTCCATATGGTGATCTTTAATGACATCCATGCAGGAAAGTCTCTTTTGCTTTTTCTTTTCCTTTTATTAAAAAGGGTATTTATGGGTTGGAGAGATGGCTTAGTGGTTAAGAGCACTGGATGCTCTTGCAGAGGACCCAGGTTTGGTTCTCAACACCTACATGGTGGCTAACAACCATCCTTAACTCCAGTTCCAGGGGATCAGATACTCTCTTCTGACCTCCAAGGGCAATGCATGACACAGGTGCACTTACATACATGCAGGCAATACACTCATTCACATTTAAAGTTTTTTTATTCTTAGACAGGGTCTCCCTGTAATCCCAGCTGGTCTAGAACTCAATACATAGCCCAGGCTGGTCTCTGTCTCACAGAGATCCACCTGCCTTTGCCTCCTGAGTGCTGAGATCAAAAGCATGTGTCACCACATCCAGCTATTTTTGTTGTTTTTGGTTGTGTTTATCTGTGTTAGTATATACACATGAATGCATCCAGTCCCCTGGAGCTGGAGCTACTGGCGCTTGTCAGCTGTCTGACATGGGTGCTGGGAGCAAAACTCAGGTCCTCTGGAAGAGAAGAGCTCTTAACTGTGGCTCTGTCTTTCCAGTTCCCTTTTTTAAGACAGGTTCTGAAACTAACCAAAGATGGCCTTGAACATGTGATCTTCTTGCCTCAGCCTCCTGAGTATTAGGGTTACAGGTGTGCACCACCATGCCCGGTTCCTTTTTTTTTTTTTTTTTTTGTCTTTTTGAAGCAGGGTCTCCCTGTAGCCCCAGCTGTCCTGGAACTATGTAGACCAGGCTGGCCTTGAACTCACAGAGATCCGCCTGCCTCTGCCTCCCGAGTGCTGGGACTAAAGGTGTGTGCCACCACACCTGGCGACCTTAACATTTCAAATATTAAAAGGAAAATCCTTTTTACTCCTCCACAATTCTGCACCCTGGGTTGAGGCTCTACCAGGTGGTTTTGGGGTTGGTTGGTCTTGCTGATGTCTGTTCTTGTGACTGGCTGGCAAATCCACTGGGATGCTGTGAGACATGGACTCCTGCTCACAAAACCATGGACTCTCCCTGTACACAACTTTCCAGCAAAACAGTTGCACTTCTAACATAGTGGTCAGGGACTCAGAAGCACAAGGGTAGCCTGCCTGAGTCTCTCAAGTCTCTGGCTCAGACCAGGCCCAGGACACTCCCATGGCATTATCTAGTCAAAGCAGGTCACAGGGTTAGCCCTGTAGCAATGGGACTACTCCCAGGCTTAAATGCCATGACTCATGACTCAAGGGAGTGGGTGAAAAGGGCACCCTAATCCTAATACCTAAGCTATTTCACTCACCCAAGTACAGCAAGACATCCTGGTTTGCTGGTAAAACCTGTCTATTTTAAACCACCGATTGACTTTTGGCTGGTAACAATTCCACTGAGACATGAACAACAAACACATCATACATTTCACCTATTCAAAGTGTACAACTCAGTTTCTAGTCTCTCTACAGAGCCACGGGCAGCCATCAGTAGGACCAATTTTACAGTATGTCCATCGCAGCCAGATGGACACAGCAGAGGCAGTGGATCTCTGTGAGTTCAACCCCAGCCTGGTCTACATAGTGAGTTTCAGGCCAGCTGGGGCAACCGGGAGACCCTGTCTCAAAAAGATCAAAAACAAACAAACCAACCCCAAAAATGTCCATCACACACCCTGCCCCCAAACCCCACATTCTAGCAGTCACCTAAGTCATACAATGTCCCCTGCCATGAGAATCCTCTACTAACTGCACTGACTCTAGACATTTGCCTGTTCTAGATATTTCTAGAAATACGATCATGCAATTTGTGTTACTGGTCACCCCCCCACCGCCAGAAACACTGTGACCAAACCAGAACATTCTGCATGTCAGATTTGTCCCTGTCCTCAAGGTGTCAAATTCAAGGACCTTAGAAAACTGCCCCAAATTATTCCTACACACACACACTTAACTCTAAGAGCCCCCCTCCCCTTTTCTCTTTCATTTGTACTTAGCTTTGTATTTAAGAGACTGTCCTCCTAGGTTAGTTTGCTACCATTCAAAATGCTCATTTGTACTGAGCAGTGAGTTACCACCAATCAAGCCAAATGGCTTTATTCTTATTCCATGTTTAATGTTTATTTCATTCCAAGTGTATCAGGCCAGCAGTCTTTTTTTTTTTTTAAATTACATTTATTTATTGCATGAATGTACCCGTGGGTACACACTACTCTCTCTCCACCATGTTGGTCACAGCAATCAAGCTCAGATCATCAGGTTTGGCAGGAAGCACCTTTACCTGATGAGCCATCTCCCTGGCCCAGGCCTGACAGTCTTACAACAAACACTCCATGATTCGGTCTCACCTACCAGCAGGAACGTGATTCAATTAAGAATCTTCTATGCCTTTTAAGCTGGAGTTCTACTGTTCCCGTGGACATGCGGCTCTGGATTGGCACTTGAGAGGTCTATTTTTCCGCCTCTCTGAGTAAATGTGGCTGGGGCAGTCCATCCCTTTTGCAGACTCTTCTCGTCTTGTTGAAAAAAGTATTTACAAGTAGACTCAGAAAAAAAAAAACCCGAGGACAATTTCATTGGGTCACAAGGGGAGATAAGCTGGGTATCTGGGATGCAGTGAGGAGGGAGATGGAAAAGTAATGCTTTAGGAGTTAAGAGATCAAGGGGGCAGGTTGGGCGGCTGCACGGGATGGCGGGTGGGGTGAGAGAAAATAAAGAGGAGACGTATAGAGACAATGCAAGGGGGTATGGAGAAAATGCCAGACTGTCAGTAAGAAGGCTTAGCATCTACTCCAGTGCCCTGAGAAGATAGCAAGAGGGGAAGGGGAGTTACTGAGACCACCACGCCTGGCTCAGCTCACAGGCCTGGAGAGAGACTCTTGGAGGGCCGGGCTCGCGTTTCTCAGTGGAAACCACGCCGCAAGGAACCACCACTCTCCTCCAGACCCCCAGCACCTCCAAGGCTCCAAGCGCTGGGACCTCCGAGTTCCGGGGCGGGACCGGAAGTCCCAAGGGCAGAGCAGCCGGCCCAATAGGGAAGCCTAGAGAGAACAGTCTCGCGAGAGCTGGGCACCCGGCCTCCGGGAGCGAGTGGTGAGCGGCGAATGGAGGGCGCGGCGGGCGAGCGGGCGCCGCTGCTAGGCGGGCGGCGGGCGGCGGCGGCGGCGGCAGGGACGTTCGCGGGCCGGCGCGCGGCGTGCGGGGCGGTGCTGCTGACCGAGCTGCTGGAGCGCGCGGCGTTCTACGGCGTCACGGCCAACCTGGTGCTGTTCCTGAATGGCGCGTCGTTCCGCTGGGAGGGCGCGCAGGCCAGCCAGGCGCTGCTGCTCTTCATGGGTCTCACCTACCTGGGCTCGCCGTTCGGGGGCTGGTTGGCCGACGCACGGCTCGGCCGGGCGCGCGCCATCCTGCTCAGCCTGGCGCTCTACCTGCTGGGCATGCTGGTTTTCCCGCTGCTGGCCGCGTCCCCCTCGCGCGCCAAGCTCTGCGGGTACCCGCGCCCCGAACGCGTGCGCAACTGCTCGGCGCCCTTCCCCAACGGCACGGCCGTGTGTCCCGACGCTGCCGCGCGGCACTGCGCTCCTGCCACCTTCCTGGGGCTGGTGCTCGTGGGCCTCGGCGTGGCCACCGTCAAGGCCAACATCACGCCTTTCGGCGCGGACCAGGTGAGCCGGCCCCGCCCCCGATGCGTCTGCACCTGCGGCGGGACTGGAGCGGGTGGTCGCCTGCAGAGAGCCGGGCACCCCGCCCACCTGCACCTACACCTGTCTTTGCATCTAGTATGCGACTATTGGGAAAGACAGGGAGTCGCCCTGTACCCTGCCCCACCCACTTGAGCCAATACTTGCCCTTCAACCCGGCATACTTCTGATGGGAAAGCCTGAGAGTCGTCCACTGCCCACCCACCTCTCTTGCTCCTGACTTTGCACCCAGTGTGCGACTGTTTCGAAAGACGGAGGGCCATCCCCATACTCTACCCCATGCCTCTTCTCATCTGCCAGAACCTCCCCCTGTACCTGACTTTGCCTCCTGTCCTCTCCTCTGATGGAGAGTAAAGCCACACTCCCCAACTCCCGAACCAACGATACTTGCACTGTGACTGATGGGAAAGCACCCTCCCTACCCCCAAAGTCCTGCAACCAGGCACCCCCACCTCACTTCTTGCAGGTAGAGTGAGGTCGAGGGGAGAGAGAAGAGCCCTTTTCCCTGGGGAAACTCCCCTTCTAGCCCAAGGAAGAAGCGCACCCTCACTCGCCCTTGATCCTGCATAGGGACCAGAGGGGAGGGAGAAGAATCCCAGAGGAAACGTCTTGTATGGAGAGGCAGTCTATGTGCCCCAGCATCTGCTGCAGGTTGGAAGGGAGAGCAAGGCTCCCCTTGATCCAGGAGAGCTTTCTGGTGCTGAAAGCCCAGGAACACCTACACCATACCTTGTCCCAGGTTCAGGACTGATGGTGGGGGAGCTGTCGCCCATCTCACCTGCAGCCATATCTGTCCTTGCATCTGGTTGGGACTGGAGGGAGGGAGAGGGAACCATCCCCATCCTCTGGCCTGGGATTTCCACATGAAGTAATGGGCGGGGTGGTGTTGAAGAGAAGGGGCTTTTTATTGGAGGGTTAGTTGAACTGACATTTGAAAGATGGAAAGGGGAAAGTTGTTGGCGGTTTGGTGGATGGACAGGCGCACAGACATGTCAGGGAGCACGAGAAGCCCCTGTCTTGTAGCTTTCCCACAAACTTGTGGAAAATACTTAGAATCCATCTTCCTTCTTCTAAAGATGTTTTAAAGTCCAGGTAAAAAGAAGTTGGCATGTTGCTCTGAACCACCAGCACCAAGAGATGCAGGAGGAGTTGGAGCTTCAGGGGAATGAAGTGATCTGCAAGTGACCTCAGTGCCATGTCTGGTCTCACAGGCTGAGAATGGCTCTTACATTTTTAAGTGGTTGGATGCAAATAGAGTATTTTGTTGTTTCTTTTTAAATAATTTTATGTGTATGAGTGTATTGCCCACAGGTGTGTGAGTGCAATGCTCTCGGAGGTCAGAAGAAGGCGTCGGATCCCCTGGAACTGGAGTTACAGATGGTTGTTAGCTAGCTGCCATGTGGGTGCTTGGACTCAAACCCAGGTCCTTGGCAAGTGCAGTCAGTGCTCAACTGCTGAGCCATCTCTCCAGCCCCCAACAAATAATTCTGTAACAAGTGAATATTATGTGGAATTTGAGTTTCAGGCTTCATGGAGGATTCCTTACAAAGTTGCCCATTCCTGCTCACTGCTCTTCCCTCTGCTGAGACAGCTTCCTTCCCTCAGACTTGCAGAATTGAGAAGTCACAGGCCAAATGCCTCATAAAACCTAGCACATTTTGTCCCTTCTCAGAAAGATTGCAGATGCCTGCTGTAGACTGGGTTGTATGGCAGCTGGGTTCTCCGCTCAGCAGCTGGTTTCAGGAGAAAAGTATGGCCTAGAGTGGAGGCCCTAGCCTTGGGTGAAGGACTGGACTCAGATACTGTGGGAGTAGGGAGGGAGGGAGGGAATGCTGGCCAGTTGTGTGTGAGCTGCAGGGAAGGCAAGCCCTAGGTCTTAGCACTGAACAGCCCTGTGGGCTCCTCCTCACAGATGGTCTGAGAGCTTTGTGCATCAGAACCAAGTCCTGGTTTAGTGCATGTGACACCTCTGTTAATATAATAGAGTGAGTTCTATATGACCAGATAGGAAATTGAAGCCCCTCAGGTTAAAACATTTGTTCAAAGTGGCCCAGCAAATAGGGTTCTGGGCCAGGATTCAAAAGCCTTGAGTCTGCTTTAAGGTATGTATAAAGTTGACCATTACAGTGAGGTGACATCTCTCAATTGCATTAAAAGTGCTATAATTTCAGCACCCAAGTGGCTGAAGCAGAAGGACTGCCAAAATTTCAAGGCCAGCCTGGACTGCATGGTGTGCTACAGAGTAAGACCAAGTCTTAACAGTAAAAGCTAACAAGTAAAAGATATAAACAAATGGGAAAGGTAACAGTTGCTTAGTGCTGGTAATTCTGCAAGGTGTTCTTCATATGAGGGGAATGCTTTCAGCTGCACACAGGTCTTTACTCCGTTTCCAAATTGAGCGAGCAGACAGAACAGGGGAGCGATCACATTCTTGCCCTGTAGGTCATGAGCAGTCAGGCCAGCTTTATTTTAGTTCACTTTTCTTTTTTTGTTTCTGAGACAGGGCCTCCCTGTAGGCCCAGCTGGCCTAGAATACTCTTACGTAGACCAGGCTGGCCTTGATCTCATAGAGATCTTCCTGCACCTGCCTCCTGAGTGCTGGGACTAAAGGTAGGTGCCACCACACCTGACTCAGTTCCACTTTAACATAGGCTTTACCTACTGGGTGGATTTGAGGTGGACACATGCATTTCATGATGGCTTCAGGCCCAGACTCACAGCATTGGCTTCTGTGCCATTGGTGCCGAGTGAGGACCAGGGCCAGAAGCACATTCACTCTGTCTTTTAGGACTGGTCACACTGCACAAGGGATTGTGGGTAGTTATGGCATGCTTCTCACTGCATACATTGCAGGCCCCATGTTGCATTGTTAGAGTACAGTAAGTCTTCTTAAACTTTTTCTACTTATACCCCTTAAATTCTTTAGTTTTTAAAGGTGTGTGTGTGTATGCATGTGACTTGAGTGCAGGTGCCCATGGAGGCCAGAAGAAGGCGTTGGAGCCCCTGGGGTTGGAGTTACAGTCAGTTTAAGTGACCCAGCATGGGTGCTAAGAACTAAACTCAGGTCCTATGGAAAGAGCAGTAGATGCTGTTAACTCCTGAGCCATCTCCAGCCCCTGAAAACCCTTTTTGCTTGAGAAATGTTGATGTGACCCTGGTCATATAAAATAGGTGTCCAAATTAAGCATTTACTGATAATAAATCATAAATTCATTTTATTTTATACTTACATTTATAAATATTTGTATAGAAAATAAATGTGTTTATTTTATTTTGAGACAGGATCTCCCTGTACACCCAGTTGGCCTGCAAGTCGCTGTGTAGACCAGGCTGGCCTTGATCTCACAGAGATCCACTTGCCTCTGCCTCCTGAGTGCTGGGTTTCATAGAGAAATTTATTTGAAAACAGTTCTTTGGTATACATATAATCTTACCACTCATTAAAGATAAAAGCAAATTTGCATACTAATGAATGTACTTGCTTGTACAACATGATACAATCCAAAGATGTACTAAGTTGGTACTCAAATGTGAGACATGGTGGGTAGTAGGAAAATACTAAAAGTATCTGAAATTAAACTGCATATACAGAAATCTTTGTATATGCAGTAGTAGCATGCAGTAGCCTCACATCTGAGCCAAAGTGTATCAAGCAACATTTGTTAGCATCCTGTACTGTGATGTGCCCATTGCAAAGTGCCCATGTTACATCTTGAGAACTAGTTCAAGACTGATTCCCCTCACACCCCCTCAGTTCTCAGCAGCCACCGGAGCTGCTAGGAGATGTGGCAACTGCCTGTGGACCTAACCCAGAGTACTTGTTTTGTTTTTGAGACAGGGACTCATGTAGCTCAGGCTGGCCATGAATTCACTAGTTGAAGATGACCTTGAACACCAAATCCTCTTGCCTCCGAAATCTGGAATTATTGCTGTGTTCCACCACATTTAGCCTTTTTTTTTTTTTTTGACCCAGGATTTTACATGATGTCTTCAGTCTTACTAAGTAGCCCAGTCTGGCCTAGAACTTGCCATGCATGTGTCTCAGCCTCCTGAATGCTGCTGTTAGAGGCATGTGTCACCATTCCCAGTTTCCAGTTTGTTTTGTTGAGGCAGGGTCTTTCTCTGTAACCCAGGTTAGCCTAGAATTTCCTATATAGCCCAGGCTGGCTGCAAACTTGTGATGATCCTCCTGCCTTTGCCTCTTGAGTGCAGAGATTTCATGTGTATGTTACCCAACCCAGTTCTTTTAAAGCCATTGTTTTGAGGAGCGCTTGGGATAATTTGACTTTGGACTGCACATTAGATGGCATACACACATATATGATGTCAGCTTTCTCTCTTTAAATACTTATTTTGTTTGTTTGCGTGTACACATACACATGCTACAGCAAGCGTGTGGTGGTCAGAGGACAACTTGCAGAAGTGGGTTTTCTCCTGTGGGCTCTGGGGATCAAATTCAGGTCATCCAGCTTGGTGACAAGTGCCTTTACATACTGAGCCATCTTACTGGCCCAGGATTTTATATTTTTAGGAGAAAAAATATAGCTAAAGATATGAGAAGGGTTTATTTTGTGATTTCTTTGAACTTTTCTGTAAGTTTGAAAATTTTTAAGTGAAAAAAGTATGGTGCATCTATTTCAACTGAAGAAAGGCTGAGCGAAATGTAATCCATCCACCAGTGAGATACTGTTCAGCCCCAACAAAGAAGTTAGGTACAAGTGGGCACTGAGAGCATCATGATAAGTGAAGGAGGCCAGACATGTCTTCCTTGCTTTTCCACACAGGCAGATGCACTGGGACTACAGGTTTAGGTCAGTGGCTGGTGGTGATAGCTCATGGGCCAGTCACTACTACACGGAAGTGTGGTAGACTTTGGGGCAGTGACCTATGCACAGCTCAATGGATACAAGAGTCTATTGGCCAAATGCTGCTCAGCAGGACCGTTTTATAGCATGTATTTACATCTCGATGGGGAAAGTTTGAAAGGGAACTGCTATCCTTATAGAGGGTGTTTGTACTCTTTTGCATCTTGACTGTCCCTTAAGGGAGATTTCACAACCTCCCTCCTCCCCAATATGCTGACTGTTTGGGTGGGACTGGATCTCTGGAAGTGTGCTGTGGCTGCTGTTCTCTGCATATGTCTTTCAGGCCCTTCTTATCTGGAGGAAATGTGTTGGTGTGAGGTCCTTCTATGTCTCTAGCTAGTGCCTCTTTATCCCCACATATAGTGCCCTCAGGTCCCTCTCATGTGGGGGAGAGGCCAGACTTGTGGCTTTGACTAGGAGCACTGGATGACTGTTTGTTTGTTTATTGGTCTTTTTGAAACAGGGTCTTCCTGTAGTCCCAGCTGGGCTGGAACGTGCTGTGTATACCAGGCTGGCCTCAGTCTCACCCAGCTCTGGATAGCCTTTAAAAGTAAATGTATAGGCTGTGAGTCTGTTCTAAGGATGGAGGATTTTGGAGTGAATTTCGCCAGCTTCTTATCTTCTCCCTTGTTTCTAGTGGTCAAAGGTCATGATCATTCTTGGTGGGTAACTGAATATTTGAAATAGTGATCAGAGTGCTGGGCACTTGCCTGTAATTCCAGTACTTGGAAGGCAGGGGCATGAGGATCAGGAGTTTAAAGCCAGCCTCAACTGGATAGTGAGTTGGAGCCCACTCTGGGTTACCTGAGACCCTGTCTCAAAAGAAATGGAAAAAAAAAAATAGTGACCTAAAAGAGGAAGAACCCACTGTACAGACAGACTGAGCAAACAATGCTCCTTTTGTGGTCTGTTGGTTGGTTTTCAGTCAGATCTCTCGGTCTTGAATGCACTTTGTAGCCTGCTCTTGAACTTGGAGGGATTCTTCTCTTCAGCCAGAGAAGTTCTGAGTGCTGGGATTACATTGCAGCATGTGCCACAACACCTGACTGAATTCTTTCCTAGTGGGGATAAGTTGCAGTCCTGTGCATTTTAAGGCGTTTTCCCAAGGCAGCCAGCTAGTTAACTACTGTACTCTAGTCTAACTTTAAGCTTAACTTCCTCGGGTTGGTTTTGGTAGTATCTTTGGAGCAGTCATGTGGAAATCTTGCTCAGCCTTGGCAGGCCACATGGTGAAGTCATAGGACTGGTCATGGAGAGTTGTGGCCCCAGGCCAAGGGCCAAGGCATGTGACAACCCAGTTTAGCAGTTCCTGTTGCAGTTCCCCGTCATATGAAAATGGCTGGTGTGGTTGCTAAGGTCCTGGGTGTAGCCTTCTGTTCATTAAGTAGTTTTGGTTTATAATTCTTGAAGAATGAAATCAGTTGATCATCGAGTGGACAAAGGAAGTAAGGATGGCTGGACTTTCAGGTTAAGATTCTGCCAGGCCAGTTGAGTATCAGTTGTTTCCTTGCTACATTTGAAGGTGAGCGTGCTTACAAGGAGGGAAGGTGTGTGTGATCCTACTATGGTAAGGGAAGGACCCAGCACATTTCATTGTTTCAGCCAGTGTTTCTTGTCACATGCTGGCCATGTTCCTAATGCTCCAGAGGCTGAGGCGGGGTATTGCTTGAACCCAGGAGTTTGAGGCCAGCCTGGGTAACTAGGCAGAAGCAGGTGGATCTCTGTTTACATACTGAGTTCCGGCCACCTGGGGCTACAGGGAGACCCTGTCTCAAAAAGATCAAAAAATAAAAAGACAAAATAGTTTGTGAAATGATACTGTCTAGAACAGCTCTGACTAAGACACAGCCCATCCCTAGGGGGTGTCCATGTAGAATGAAAAGTACAGGTGGGAAGGAGGCCCTAGTGATACAAGGAAGAAAGAACACCCCATAGAGGGTTCTTAGTCTCATTCATAAAAGAATTTCAGAATGTCAGACCTGGCTATGAAAGGCAGCTGACCTAAAGCCCATACTTGAAGGTAAGGGCAGTAGCTCTGGGCCTATGTTCAGATCCAGAAGTCACTGGTTTTTTAGTTTTTCCTAAGTGCATTGATAGCTTTGGTTTGGTTTATTAAGTGTTTTGAGACAGGATCTTTTGTATAGCCCAGGCCAGCCTCTAGCTCATGATGCTGGCCTCTGCCTCCCAAGTACTGGGATTACAGGTGTGTGCCATCTTAATGACCTTTCTAATGTAAAGTTAGCTTGTAGCTATAGCTGTGGACTGTACTTGCATCTTTGTTGCAGGATTACTAAAGTCTCCAGTCCTCTGGGGCAGTAGGAGTGGTGTCTCTGAACAAAGTTACCTCTGCCGTGACTCTTTGGGACCAGAGCCTGTTTGCCAGGGACTTCGTGGCACTTGTTTAGCAAGGCTTGGCACTCTCTAGTAATGGTACTGAGACTTACCAGAAGCAACAGCAACCTGAATGGGTGTTTAACATGCAGGCGTCTGACTTAATCCAAGATTGTGATTCTGAGGGGCTGGGCTATGGGTCCTGGAATCTATTTTAAGGATCATTGTTGGCTTCATACTTCTCATGTTTCAAGGTTTGCATTCTTTGGACACTGGGACTTGTAGGCGAATCCCCTTGATCGGCAGTGATTAGATGTAGAATAGTTTCTGTAAGGGGGCACTTGAATGCGTCTGTAAACAGCCTTTTCTCTGTGTTACAAGCTATTGAGGGTAGGGGTTTGAGGCAGCTGGTTGTATCTGCCCTCCCTGTGCGGATAATCAGGTGCTAGGTGCAGTGGCAGGTGCTTATAGTTCACCTGCTGTGGGTGATTAGGAGGTTATTAAGTATTAAAAACACTAAAGCTTGTCACATGTAGAGGGTAAATTAAAATTCAAGAGGATTCCATGTTCTCATGTATGTTTATTATCCCTGTTATTTTAGGTCAAAGATCGAGGTCCGGAAGCCACTCGGAGGTTTTTCAATTGGTTTTATTGGAGCATCAACTTGGGAGCCATTCTGTCCTTAGGGGGCATTGCCTACGTTCAGCAGAATGTAAACTTTATAGCTGGCTACCTCATCCCCACTGTCTGTGTAGCTGTTGCTTTCCTGGTCTTCCTCTGTGCCCAGCGTGTCTTTATCACAAAGCCCCCGGATGGCAGTGCCTTCACAGACATGTTCAGGATACTGACCTACAGCTGCTGCTCCCAGAGAGGTCGGCAGCGGCGGCCCGGGTGAGTAACACAGCTTTTTCTTTAACTCCCCTCAGATAAGATACCAGCTGAAGTCTGGGGTGTGCCACTTGTGTCATGAGCACATGTTTGGTCTCCAAGCTAGCTTCCAGCAGGTGTGTAATAAGCTCATTAGAATCTCAGAGCCCAAGCTTGGTCCTCCATGCCCAGCTTTCTCAGTGCCAGCAGGGATGGGGACTGCTGGTTCCTGGGCGGCAGGTTGTGAAGCTGAGATCTATGGAGGGCAGCAGAGACGGGTGTGTGCTTTAGACATAGCACTTCAGTTTTACAGCCTTGAAGTACATCAGTGGGAACGTGAGTAGATGTTGTTGGTACCTAAAGGAAGTTGCATCCTTCATCCAGCCATGGCAGCTACTCTGTGACAGAGGGTCACACAAGCAGAGGTGCGTTTAGAGGACCCAGTTTGCCCTTACTTGCATGGGGCTTGCCCAGCTTTAGTGTTGAAAGTCCAAGGACCTGGGAGCATTAGAAATTGCCGTGTTCCGTGAGCCCCCATATCCCTGGCTGACGATAACTGTTCCTGTTCTGTGCAGTTTGATGGAGTGTAGAACCTGACTTGAATAGAGCCGCAGATGATTCTGTGTTACTTACTGCGGGCTGCTTTGTGTGGAGTGAACTGGTCTTGACCTCTCGAAGTGTGACTTACACACTGCAGTGGTGTAACCACCAGGCACTCAGGTGTAGAGTGCTCTATCCCAGTGAAGCCCCTTGGGCCTTTGAGGTCAGCGCCTCTGTATTCTTTGGTCACCCTAAGGCTTCCTAGTAATCACTTACCAGAAATGGGCCCTTGACCTCAGGGCTTCCTGCTGGATGGTTCCGGTTGCTAGAATGTTCTGCAGGCAGGTGTGCATCCCCTCCTTGTGCTTGTCTGTGTCTGTCATTCCTGTATTGGGAGCCTCTGTGTGTGGCAGACTGAAGGTACAGAAAGTTGTGCTGGTAACTCAGCTGCTGGTTGGTGCACCTGTGTCCTGGCCTCTCCTGTGGACCTGCTGGAAGGGCTGCTGGCTATGGCAGGCTTCAGACGTTGTTCAGAGTGGGGCAAATATTAAGGAACTTTTCAGATCTGGAAGATGCCTGCTTAAGCCAACACTGGTGTTTGCTAGGGTCTTACTTTGGCCAGTGTTAGAAATCCTGGCTGTTTGTGATCTAGATCGTATAGCTATTGTCATAGTACAGCCCTTTGAGACAACTGATGTCCTGGTGTGCCTCTGGTTCCTGAGAGACTTTTTGGCAAAGGACCAGCATCACTTTTAGGTCATTTGTGGTTTCAATTTACATGTGGCACGTGAAGGGAATTTGGAGAGACTTAGCAAACTGATTTCCCTTCAGGTTCGGCTTTAGACATCTTTTTGGTCAAAAGTAAGAAAAAAGGGCTGAAAAGTCGATAGTCTAAAGGGAATTGTGAAATGGTTCCTATGGACTTGCTTTGAGTCCTTGGCTGGTTAAAGACCTTGAGATTCCTGGCTTTCTACTTTGCCCAGGGGAAGGTCCATAGGATTGTTGTGAGGCCTCAATACAGCAAGTGTGCAACAATGCCTTCAACAGATTTCAGGTATCCAGTGGAGCCTGCCACTGGGCTACTGGGTTCGGGGTAGGGTACCTGGATTGGGCTTGAGGAGCCTGGGAAGTGCCACATACCAATTCCATGTGCCTGGCACAGTCCCACTGGCCTAGGTGGATATATCTGGAAGGTGATATAGTGCTGATTTTAGAAGAGTCTGTTAGTTCACGTCATTATACTGGAGTGGAACTGGCCCAAGAGCTCTGTGGAGTATGAGTGGAATCTATGACAGGGTCCTTCCTATCCAAGAGTGACCCACACCTGTGTGCCCAGCCTCTGAGAGCCTGGACACATAGGCACAGGAAGACAGAGTCACAGACTTTGTGGGCTCTTCTCTGTTCATGTATTTTGTGACTGTAGTGTTGTGTTATGCTGCAGAGTAGAGTGCTACCCATACAGAGGAACAAGGAGTCTTTGTTCTTTTTTCTTTTCTGAGGTAATGTCTCACGTAGCCTAAGCTGGCCTTGAACTTTCCATGTAGCTGTGAATGAACTTGAATTCCTCTTTCTCTGTCTGGTCTCAGCCTCCCAGGATTGGGATTGCATGTGTGGGCCACCTTGCCTGGTAACAAGGAGGCTTTAAGGATGAGTAGCAACAGAGAGTTGGTCTGTGAGTAGCTTCGATGTAGAAGGGGTTTGGTACTTGACATTGATGTGTTTCAGAGAGATGCATTATTGGTGGGATATGTGAGACACTGCCAGTGTCAGGTACACAAGGACTCAGGTTCCTTTCTAAAAGAGAGTAGGAGCCTGAAGAAGTTAGGAATGTTTTCAAGTAAAGTATGAATATTATCTTTGGAATTTAATGTTCATTTCCCCCCACTATTCTAAGCTTTATAAGGACAGGAACTCAGTATACTCAGTACCCAGTTACAGCAGTACTGTGCTTGTAACAGTATTCAGTAAATATGTGAGTCAATTTTACTTCATAAAAACTTGGCTAAAGTATTAGGTTATAATTTTTAGTTTATTGATCTTTCCTCACTTGGAATGTGCAGGAAAGTGTCAGCTTTGTAAGATAAGAGTAATTGACATTGCAACAGCTTAGTGAAAGGACCTGAGTGGGTAACTAGAATTCAGACAGTGCTGTTCCCCAGTCTGGAATCAGAATGATCTCAGTGATGGTTAAGTGTCTCCTGTTGGCCTTTGGACAGCAGTGTACAGTTCCCTGTGGGCCCTAGAGGAGCTCCTTGGTTACTGTGGGGAGCTGGGGAAGACCTTGCTGCTGCCCAGAGAATGCACGCATTTTGTAAAGCTGGGGGCAGCTGAGACTGAGAGGCAGGGCCTGTGACCCACAGATGTAGGAGAGGTTATGGGTAGCCAGGACCACAGCTGCAAAGCCAAGACTGCTGAGCTCCAGTTCTGGCCTCAACTCTGTAGCTTTGGGAACTTGACGGAGTTAGTCTGTGCCTTAACTTCCTCTTTGAAATGGGCCAGTAAGAGCCTTTTATACTTTCTAGGCTTGTGCTCAAGATCATTGGTGAGTGCCGGCTCACCAATCACTTCCTGTTCCCCATCACCTTGCTGTGGCGGCCAGTGTAGTCCATCTGGGCTATTCTTTTCCTGCCAGAGGCAGACTTGGCCATCCCTGCCAGCAAAGTACCCTCCATGTCACCCCAGTGGCTGCATGTATGATGATCTAGTGTGGTTGCACAAAACATGGGGTTGCTGTCTGCTTTGATGGTCATGAGGTAGCTGACTAGAAGTCCAAACAGTCCAGGGCTGAGGTGTTGCAGATGTGCCATGAGGCTACATGGGTTTGAGGTGGGTATAGTAGACAAAGCTGCACTGTTCAGAAGTCCTGTGGCCAGCCACTTGGGTACATTTTGCTACTTTTAGAAACAATTTTGGGAGCTATATGTGGCGTGTATAGTTAGCTATAGAAGGAATTAAAGCAGATGAGTGAGGAGAGGAGAGCCGCTTTTCTGTCCCCAAATGTAGCTTGATACCAGAGTATTGTCACTGGGGGTGGAAGAAAACTAATTCCTTCATTTTGTCTCCCAAAGTGAAGGCATTGGAGTCTTTCAGCAATCTTCTAAACACAGTCTGTTTGATTCATGTAAGATGTCGCGCGGAGGGCCGTTCACAGAAGACAAAGTGGAAGACATGAAAGCCCTGGTCAAGATCGTGCCTGTGTTCTTGGCTCTGATTCCTTACTGGACAGTGTACTTCCAAGTGAGTGGCACAGACAGCCATCCTCCAGTTGTGTGGCCCGTGCTGCTTTGCATTTAGAAAGCCTTTCCCAAGAAGCAGCTAAGAGTTGGTGCACATCTGGGCATTTGGACCCTTCTAGCTTCTTATTTGACTGACTGACAGTTCCTGTCCAAAGAGACTTTATGGTGACCCAATAATTGCCATGTCTGTTTTTAAACTCTAGCCTTCATCTGATTGTGAGACCTGTTGCTGAGCCTTGCCAGCTAGTGGCGGGGAGGGCACATGCTAGTCTCGGAGAAACATAGCAGGTTCATGTGTACTATCTGCTTTCTTCATTCAGATGCAGACCACATATGTATTACAGAGTCTTCATTTGAAGATTCCAGAAATCTCAAGTATTACCACCACCCACCACACGGTAAGAACTCTTGAGGTGATACACAGGCTCCCTCCTGCAGGCTACAGCAGGGCCGGGCACTGCCATTGAAACTGAGTCTTTGCCCATTGACACCATTGGCAAGAATAGTTCCTGATTGATTAAGCTAACTAAGGCTATTTTCACTGATTAGTACTCCACCAGATTCAGCCCCTCCCCTAGCACAGAATCACACACATCCATTGGGAGCCAGTGTCTCTCTAGCTGCAGTGTCTTGGTGGTCCCGTGGTAGAGACTGGGGTCCCTGCATGGGCAGCTTGGGGCAGCCTGTTGCAAGCCTAACCACCCTCTCTATGCAGTTCCCCGCAGCCTGGCTCACCATGTTTGATGCAGTGCTGATTCTCCTGCTCATCCCGCTCAAGGACAAGCTGGTGGACCCCGTGCTCAGGAGACATGGCTTGCTCCCATCCTCCCTGAAGAGGATCGCTGTGGGGATGTTCTTTGTCATGTGCTCAGCTTTTGCAGCAGGTAAGCAGCTTGGCTCCTGGAGCCTCCCTCTCCCTGACTTGACATTTACAGCTGTGGGTAACACAGTGCAACAGTGGGTGTGCTGTGCTGGAAACACTGTTGGTTTCAGCCACTCAAGTTTCTTCTTCTTCTGATCTCTCATTTTATAGAGGTTATGTTTTCTCCCGGACTCATCTTTACCTGTAGAGCTAACTAGAGTTGCTTGATGGTACCTTGGGTTAAATCACAGACACTGTCTTAGCCTGCAGATTAGACTCAGGGTATATATTGTAGAATAGTAGTTTTTATGAGAATCCTGTGGTTCTCAAGTAAGAGATTATGCCAGAGGCTCCTGATTCTCGCAGCTCTTGCAGGCTTTAGGGTAGTCCCAGAGTTGGGGATGTTTTATGTAAAACTTCGTGTGCATTTTCCGTGTGAGAAAGATTTTATTCAGTTGTTAGAGGCCCCTGAAACCTTCCTTGCTCCTCAACAAGGAAAAACCCCATCTGTGAAGAGCTGATTCTCATACCACACACCAGGGAGAAGAGCCGCTTCCTAGGTCCTTCTGCCATCATCAGAATTTGGAAATCGTTGAACCGTAAAACAGCATAGCTATGTGCGAGATAGAATCTGATTTCTGAGTGGTGTCAAGCTCTGCTGAGGGGAGGTGATGTTTCAGACAGTGCTTCCTTCATTACCGTTAGAGCCACACACTGTTGGAGTACTTTACAGGCTTAGAGAAATTAGTCCCTGGGCTTAAGAAATCCATACCCTCGAAGCGGAACATTTAAGAAGACTATTCTGTTTCCTCTTGATCAAATAGATAATTAAGGTGAGGGATGGTCTGAGTGAAGCTTACTATGTGTTTGCTGTGAGTTTTTCTTTCAGAACTGTGGCACCCAGGAAAATAAGCAGAGCATGTGAGGACTGTGTCCCAACAGGGCTGTTGGCTCCAGAAGCAGGGTGCTGACAGAAGCAGTTCAGGGTAGGAGGACGAGAGTCTGTCTCTCTGCCTTGCCTGCCTGAGGCTTGGCTTTCTTTCCCAAGCCCCTCTTTCTCCCTGGATGGGGCCCTGGGGCCATTCTGATCAGATGCCTTTTCTCCCTTGGGAAGGGAAGTGCTTTTGGCCTCCTGAGGCTTTTTTCGTGGATTACTGGGCTGGGTTTTGTACCCTCCTCTCCTTTAGTTTCATTGTGGCCAAATCACTTTTCAGGACTGCCCTGAGAGCCGAGTGGAGTGTTCTGTGGATTTGGGGTGTGTCTGTGCAGGAAACAGGTGTCAGACCAGTGATTTGAGATTTCTCAGTGATTTGAGATGTCTCCATCAGGCACCATCTTTTCTGACTTCTTAAAAAGTGGCGCGCACCTTTAATCCCAGCACTTGGAAGGCAGAGGGGTGGCGCGCATCTTTAATCCCAGCACTTGGAAGGCAGAGGCAGGTGGATCTCTGTGAGTTCAAGGCCAGCTGGGTCTACATAGTGAGTTCCAGGACAGCTGGGGCTCCAGGGAGACCCTGCCTCAAAAAGACCAAAAAATAAAAAATAAAAAGTGTGCAAGAGATTACATGGCGGACGAAGTCCAGCACTGACCAGAGTTGGGCAGAATAGGGTAGCCTCCTCACTGTTGAAAACACCTTGTACGTGCACGTCTTTCTAAAAGAAAGCTGTGGTCAGGTACTGGGAAGGTTTTCCCTGAGTCAGTAGTTGAGAAGCAGCTGAGCACCTCCTGGTTGCCTTGAGCACAGCTCAAATTCAATATAAACAGCTGTCTGTGTTGCACACAGGCCCAGGCCACTCAGTTCTAGGGAGGAGGATTTAGGGGTGTCCACAGGCTGAGTAGAGACCTGAGACTCATACCCTGGCCCACTGGAAGCTCCACTTCGCACCATGCCTGCCTCTGGCAGCTCTTCTCCAAGTTCTCAGATGTAAATCAGGCAGTCCAGGGGGTGGTTTCAAGTCAGCTTAAGGAAAAAGGACATGTGTTCATTTGTTTTCCTTTTTTCCCTTTAAAAATTGTGTGTGTGTGTTGAGACAAGTTCTTGCTATGTAGTCCAGGTGTTCTACTTTGTTTTTCCATTGCTATAACAAAATATTCTGACCAATACCAACTTGGGGAGGAAAGGTTTATTCAGCTTACATCTCCTGGGTCACAGTTCATCAGGGAGCCCAAGGTAGGAACTCAGGGCAGAAACCTGGAAGCAGGAGCTGGAGCACAGGCCATGGAGGACTGCTGCTTATTGGCTTGCTCCCCTGGCCCCTGCTCAACCTGCTTTCTTATACAATACAGGACCACCTGCCCAGGGGTGGCACCACCCACAGTGGGCTGGGCCTTCCCACATCACTCAGTAATCAAGAAGATGCCCCACAGACATGGCCACAGGACAGTCCAATGGAGGTAATTCCCCAGTAGAGGCTCCCTCAACCCAGTAGTGTCAAGTTGACACTAAAGCTATTCAGCACACCAGGCTTACCTGGGACTGGCCTTCTGCAGGCCCAAGTGCTGACATTACAGGCATTTGCCACCATGCCCAGCTGTGTGCTTTGTTTCCTTTCTCTCTGTTTTGTCTCCGCTGTCTCTCAGTGAGTGGTGGCAAGGTGCAGGTTCATGTACTCTGAATCCTGCCTTCCGAGTACGTGCACCCTTCACATGCAGGGTATGCGTGCAGTGCGTGTCCTTTCAGCCTTTTAGAGAAGTATTTGATGTGTCAGAGTGGCACCTGTGCCCTTCATCCTGGGGCTCAGGTTTCCAGTTCCCACTGTCACAGTGACTGTTGCCCCAGTGGGGTATCTTCCCGTTTCTGCTGATGTCCTGGCAGCCCCATTGTCCTGTCCTCTTGGGGCTCTCGTCATCTTTGCTGTCTGCTCTCACTTGCATTCCTGCCATGGTCTGTTAATCCAGCTGTGTTCAGAGGCCCTCCTGGGTCCAAAGTTGGTCTGAGCATCTTGACCTGCAGTCACAGACACCTGAGTGTCTTTTCTGAGAGAAAGGTCACGGCTTTCATTAAAGAAGAATTCACCATTGGTCCTTGGGGTCCATAGCAAGCTTGCAACTTGTTTATATAAGCCATGGCGTTTAAAACAGTAGGTGCAAATGGGGCCTATTCCTTCCCAGTTTCACTGGCCAAACAGCCACTGCAGCTGTTCTCATACTGTCCTGGAACACTGTACAGCTGGAGAGGGCAGAGTGAAGGGTGAGAGTTCTGCTCTCTAGCACCCTTGCCAGGACAGGTGGTTTTTTTTCCTCACTTGAAGGGTTAAAATATTGTCTATAAAGACCATATTTTATATACGGTAATATTCTTCATAGACTATATATATATATCTCATTAGTGCTGCCTAAATTTCTGCCCCAAATCATTACCATTTATATTCCTTTGGGTAGGTTTAGCATGTGTGCGTGCATGCGTGCGTGTGTATGAATATGTAAAGATCACTCTTGCAAGGTTTTCTAAGTTTTAACCCATATCTTAAAAGCATTTTTCCACTTTTTCTGTTTTCCTTTGTATTTATGTCTCCCAGTTTCTTGCATGCTGTCCTTTACATACTGTATGTTTATGCCAAGGTTGTCCCGTATTAGTCTGTGTACTACATCCCTCTTTATCTTCACATGATGTCCTTTCTTTTCCTGCCCCTGCCCCTGCCCCCTGGTAATTATGCCTCTTCTGTTGGGCTGTTGTGAGTGAATATCTAGAAATCTCTTCAGACGTCCTCCTTATGCCTAGTGCTGGTCAGAGTGCTCCCCAGATGCACAGTTCTCTGTTTAAGGAGACAAGGGGTTTGTGCCAAATCTAACCTTCACTCCACATCACTCACAGTGTTGGCAGGGCCGATGAAGTCTAGATGATCCTTCCTCTGTCTAGAGAAAAGTACTTCCCACCCCCCTTCGAATAGCTTTTGTTTTTCTGATTGTATTAACCTCTTGGTGTGTGTATATATATATATTCCAAATAGTTACTTATTTGGGGGGCAGGGTCTCACTCTGTGGCCCTGGCTGGCCTGGAACTCAGTCACTCCTGCCTCTGCCTCCTGAGTGCTGAGATTACAGTCCTGTACCACCAGACCTCACTATATTCCAATGTTTCAGAAATACACCCAGTTTGTTGAAAGATGGCTTTGCCTCTATGGTTTGGTCTGATCTGCAGTGCGACCTAGGCATCTGTTTCTAGTTGGCATTGGTCTGGGGGCATTTTATTGGATTTGGTGTCAGGTTATACTCTTCATGAAAGTCCTCTGTAAACACGCCCATCTTTTCTTTGTAGCAGGAGAATGTTTTATTGAGCCATGACTGCTGGGGTAGTTCTAGAGATTTGCCTAAAAGGTCACCTGAGCCTCACCACATCTCTGAGAGGTGCTTTGGTAATTTTTTTGCCTTCCTTGAATTTTGTGCACATCTTGAATCACTTTGTTTGTTTGCTTTTTTTTTGTCTTTTTGAGACAGGGTCTCTCTGTAGCACCAGCTGGCCTGGAACTCACTGTATAGACCAGGCTGGCCTTGAACTCACAGAGATCCGCCTGCCTCTGCCTCCTGAGTGCTGGGATTAAAGCCCAGCTAGAAATAGCCTTTTTAACTAAGTCTGTTTCCTTCCTCATTTTTAGATTCATGCACATTTACTCTTGGCATTCAAAGTGGTGTGTACTTTGGGATGTTTCTGAGAGTTTCTCTGAAATACCCACCTGACTGTTGCTCTATTCTTTTCTCTTCAAGGCACTGAAACTCTTTTACTACAGCTGTTTTCCATTTGAAGAAAATGCTACTTTCTGTTACCCTGGCTTTTAATTTTTTTCTTTCTCATTTGTTGAGTTACATTAATTCATTTTTATTCTTTCTTGTTTAATGGTGCAAAAAATACCAACCCTAAGAGTTCACCTGAAATATTAATGCTGAGAGTTTGTCTGTTGTCACAGCATTGACCAGATGCATGCTGTAGTTTGTTGTTTTGTTCTGTGTTTCTTGTGAAAACAGAAACTTTTTTCACTTTATTATTCTTTAAAATTTGTTTGTGTGGGTACTCATGAAATAGCACGTGTGGAGGTCCTGAGTGGGCTCTCCCCTTCCACCATGTGGGATCTGAAAGTAAATTGGGAGAACTTGACCTCTGATACCATGTCTGTAGTTTTGCTTTTGTTAGTGAGACCTCTTTCTGTAGAGTCCAGAGATCATTGATCTTGGGGGCACGGAGGGGGGTTGATAGATTGCTACTTAACACCTTGTTAAGTGGCATCTGCTTGTTAGTGTTGCTCTGAATACTTCTTTTCTCCCCGCAATAGTTTTGTTGTATTTTTCTTCTTTTTGATTCTGCTTGCCTGATACCTCATGACCTGCATCTCTCTCTTTATAATCTTTGCGGTGTGCCTTTCTTCACTTGGGTCTTACCCAGTGTTCAGTTTCATTTTGCTTTTTAAACTGAGGCAAGTGTTTCAGGCTTTGGTTAAAGAATTTGGTCCATTTGTTTCAAGGATTGCATGTTGGTTATTTCAATTTTTTTTGGCTGTTAATGAATGCCTGTCTGTAGTGTTGTCTTTGGGAACTTCTGGTGTTTCTCTGAGACCTGCTTACAGGCACCCGGTAGTTATACCACTTCCTCCCCGTGACCTAATATTAGATCCTCATGCATTCTCTCACTGTTTCAAAGATGAAAGACTGGGCTCAAGAGATACTCAGGGGTTATGTTAAACAGTGAACATCTGTTTTACATAAGATGCTGCAGAAATCCTGTGAAGAAGAGGTCTGGGGATTTGACAGGTCCCCAAGCTTGTACCAGGGAACTGTTACAGGCACCCTTCTGTCCTGCTTTTGGCAGAAATGTTGATAATGCCTATGGCACAAGTGCAGATTTTTACCTGAATGCAAACGTAAGTGAGTAAGTGCTACATTAACCCACTCTGACTTCCAGGAATCCTGGAAAGTAAAAGGCTGGACCTTGTGAGGGAGAGGATCATCATCAACCAGACCATCGGCGGTGTGGTGTACCATGCTGCTGACCTGCCCATCTGGTGGCAGGTCCCACAATATGTACTCATTGGCATCAGCGAGATATTTGCAAGTATAGCAGGTAAGGTTCGTGAGCACCAGCGGTGTCTGAGCTTGTCTGTACTGTACCCTGCCCTGTGCTGAGACAAGACCATGGTGATTTGTATCTGATGGGGAAATGTGGCTAGAACATGGGTCAGTAAATAAACAGTATTCCTCAGGCTGAGGTTGTCCTATATTGATAGAATAGCAGTATTCCTTAGATATTTTCATGAGCGTCCATGACCTACTGTGGGTGCCATGGGAGGAAGAGGAAAACTGCTGTGGAAAGGCTTCCACTGGCCTGTCTCCTGCAGAATCCTCTACAGGGTATGACTGAGCTGAAGAACCTGGTCAGAGCAATTTTTAGAAGATGTTCTCACGGTCCTCTGTCCTGTTACAAGGCTGCAGCATCAGGAGAAAGGGCTTGGGGTAGGTCATCTGCTAGGTGCTAGAGCAGCAGGAGAAGTGCTGATGATGCTCAGTTAGTTGGGGTGGGGACAGGCTGGGGTCCTCACCTCAGAAACCTGGGCAGTTATATCATGACTACTAAGGGAATACGATACAGCGGGGCAGGTTTCTGTTGAGACTGTGTCTCAGGTTTCTGGTCATTGTGGGAATCAGAGTTTATAGATGCACTGTTGAAACTGTAGTGCATGGACTTCATTTTCAAACTCCTTTACTTGAGAATATGGGAAACCTTCTGTTTCTTTAACAGACTTTTTAAGAAGGAACCTTTTTTTTCTCTCCCCTAAGTTTAGGCTTTTTGAGATAGGACTATTAGCACTGGCTAACCTCAAACTTGCAGTAAGTAATCTTTGTGCCTCAGGCTCTTGAATACTGGGATTACAGGTATGAGACACCAATTGCCTATCTTGGAACAAAAATTTTTTAAGAATTCAAACGTTTGCTCTAAATTTGAGAGCATTGCTATTTTCATGACATGTTTTAAGAGTTTTCATGGTGGGTTGGGGCATGAGGAGCCAGCTCAGAGCCATTGATTTCCCAAACTAGCTGTGTGATTTGCAGAAAGCAGTGACATGCCTCCTGACAGCTCTCAGGCCCGAGTGAGGCAGAGTGATGCAAAGCCACCTGTGTGAATGCCCTTTCTCAAAGTGACCCTCTCTGTCCTTTTCTCTAGGTCTAGAGTTTGCATACTCAGCTGCCCCCAAGTCCATGCAGAGTGCCATCATGGGGCTCTTCTTCTTCTTCTCTGGCATTGGGTCCTTTGTGGGCTCAGGACTGTTGGCACTGGTGTCCATCAAAGCCATTGGATGGATGAGCAGCCACACAGACTTCGGTAAGAACCAGCCCTCTTTTCTTCTGCAGACATAGGATGGGCAGCCAAGATGCTCCAGGCTGCTGTTAGGCGTGCATGTGAGGAAGGGCCAGCCTGTCCCAAGAGTCTCTTGTGATGAGTGATGGATGACATCCCCTTGTTGTTCTCTCGACGGCAGTCCCTCATCCTCAGGGCTGGTGTGAAGAAGAGGCCTGTGCTGCCAGCTCCCTTTGTTTACCAGAGCTTAAAGTTTTGTTCTGCCAGTTTCTTATGATTTTCTATTGTCAGTAAACACTCTTCATCAGTCAGGAAGGATTTCACAGTTAGTACCTGGAGATGGCATCTTGGATATTTAACAGAATTGCTCATCAGGTAGTTTCCTTCTTCCTACTCTGCAGTGGCTTTATAAGGGACCCAGGGAACTGGAACTTCCTTTCTTTTCCTTTTGAGAGGTATGTGTCACCTTTGAGACAACCTGATTCTTTTTCACATTGAGTTGTGCAGAATCTCCTCTAAGGCTAGCACATAGCTACTTTTTATGCTATAAATTCCTTTGAAAAAGCGAGGGATTTTGTTCTGGAAGCTGTGGGATACCCAGAGCACTTCTGTGATTGGGGTTGGAATCCGTGTCCTCCAGGTGAGTTTAGGCCTGTGAAGGTCTAGGATAAGCCTAGCCCCTACTGTCTCCTCACGTGCCTATCTGACTCTAGTCATGCAAAGAAGCCCTGTCAGCTTCAGGCTCAGGAAACCAGCCAGCAGGTCTGGGCCTTGTCTTTAGTCTAAGCCTCCAGGAGTGTAGCAGCTGTGGGGTGTTATCCATGGTGCTATGTAGTCAGCCTGCACAGGACCAACTTCTTAGTGCTCATCACAGAGACCAGGATTTGAGTTAATTTCTAATTTAAAACATTTTAAATTTATTATTCTGTGTGTGCACATTAAGTGCATGCTAGTGTGTGTGTATAGGTCAGGACAACTTGTGGGAGTCAGTTCTCTCCACTGTAGGATCTGGGGATCAAACTCAGGTAATCGGGCTTTTGCAGGAAGTGTTGCTGTGCCATCTTGCCAGCCCCTTGTTCTTTATTTTTCAGAAAGGATCTTGCAGTCTTGCTCCATAGCCCAGACTAGCCTGAAACTCGCTGTGTAGTCCATGTTGGCCTCCAATTTGTGATCCTCCTGGCTCTGCCTCCCAAGTGCTGGGATTATAGGCATGGGCCACCACGCTTGGCTTAAGATGCTGCACACATTCTGCATCATGGGTTTCTTTCGTTGTGAGGTAGAAAATTACCTGGTTTGGGTTATTTGTACTCCTAATCCACTCTTCACTAGTTTTCTTAACTTGGTATCTAGGCAATCCACCACCATTCATTTCTGAAAGGCTGCTGGAAACCCTCCGAAGTGCTCCTCTCTGAAGTCTGCATTTAGCATGTGTTCAGTGTATCACTCTAGTACAGCCCAGCAACTTCTCACTTTCCTATCAGTGAGTTTGGATCAGTGCTGTACAGAGGCCTGGGCCCTGGTATAACTTGGATGTCCTCATTACAGACCCACTCACCCTTAGGGTGCTGTCTGGCAGCTGACCTGGAAATCAGGTGGTATCTCCCTCCTGAAGAATTCTAGCCTTTATGCCAGTGACCCCACTTGCTGGTCCATTGGCAACCTGGCCTTCTCTCTAGCCTGGTCCCTCATCCTGTACTGTCAGCGCTCCTACAGGTGATCAGATGGTCAGAGCTGATGTAGTGCTCCATGGTAGACCAGGACTGTGAAGTTTGCAGGGTACCCCAGGCTCTTGTCACAGTTTCATTCTCTCAGGTTTCTGCAAGCTCTGTCTCATCACTGTTGCCTAAGTGGGAATGGCACTTGTACCACTCTGTGCTGATCCTGAGCAGGTGCCCCATGCTTAAGTACAGGTCAGAATGCAGAGCCTTGTCTCTTCTCATCGCTATCTACTGCCCTGCCCTTCAGCAAGACACATCTGGTCCCACAGCATTTGTCTAGGGGCTCTCTCATGTGTTTTGGAGCCCATTGAGGTCTGGGCTGTCCTCACAGGACATCTGAGGGAGGCTCCCTGGTAGTGCTGTCTTGATTTTGAGTGCTCTTTTATCACAGGACTGTCATAGTGAACTTGTTCATTCTGCCCCTGGTGGATGTTGGTGTATCTGGTGTGGGCTTTTGTGAAGAAACTGTTGTGGACATTCCTGTTAAGGCATTCTGGTGGCACGTGCACTCATTTCTCATTTCATCACAGTCTGTGATGAAACACAATCTCCCTCTTTTATCCATGTTCTCTGTAGTTTTTCTTTCTGTAAAAGCCTAGGACAGTTAGGGTAGTTGTTTTTTAGGTGATGATTACATCCTTAAATTATCTGCATAATCCCTAGTGAGGCTGAACTGGTGAAGCTGTGATGTGCTTTCTGCTCTGGGGTTTGACAGTGTTGCCACCCAGAGGCAAACATACTGTACAGTCCACTTGGCCTGTTAGCTTTGAGCACTGGAGTGACTCTTTAATATGGGAAGATTCATAAAATAACATCCTTGATGCTTTGCCATACCTTCTCACAGTAGCATCAAGTGCTTGTTCCTTGTAGTAGTGGAACAGTCAGGTTCCAGAATATGGGTGCATCTATAATCACTAGGGATCAGGACAGAGCTGGGAAGGAGGAATGGTACAGTGTTTAAATTTGCTGAATGAATAAAGCTTGGTCTGTTAGAAGTTGAAGGTACAACAGATATCTCCCATAAGAGAAGTGTAGGACACCATTGCTCTTCACCTGTGGACTCAGAATTCTCATAGAAGCAGTATATCATTGCTCATGACTGATAGACATCTGATACTAATGAGTGTGAGTTTAGAGAGCGAAGGGTGTTTCAGAGTAACCCAGCTTAAAAAGACCTCAGGAGGAGGGCCAGCCGTGATGGCGCGTGCCTTTAATCCCAGCACTAGGGAGGCAGAGGCAGGCGGATCTCTGTGAGTTTGAGGCCAGCCTGCTCTACATAAGTGAGTTCCAGGATAGCTGGGGCTACAGGGAGACCCTGTCTCAAAAAGACCAAAAAAAAAAAAAGACCTCAGGAGGAAAAAGTCTTTCTAAATAAACAGAACATGATTGAAGTATGTCAGAAAACAGAGCAAACTTCTTACCACAGAATTTGCTTCCTCTGGGCACTACTAATGGTTTACCTGTTCAGAGAACGCTTCATGTTCCTCAGGTGATGAGGTGAATGGCTATGGGGCTGCTTCTCGGCGGGGAAGCTGGCTGTCCTGCAGTCTGTGGGAGCTGCACTCACAGGCCATCTCTCTCCCTCAGGGAACATCAACAGCTGCTATCTCAACTACTACTTCTTCCTGCTGGCTGCCATCCAGGGAGCCACACTCTTACTGTTCCTCATCGTTTCCGTGAAGTATGACCGCCAGCGAGCCAGGGCGGATGGAGGGCCAGCCAGCGGGAGGGCCTGACCCAGCCAAACCTGTGTGTTCACTGGCAGACTCTGGAGGCCTCAGGGCCCACCACCAGGGCACCACAAACAGGCAGGTTGAGTTTAGGGCCTCAGTCCTGACTTCCTTGAACTTAGATGTTGCCGAGACTGGTTTTTCCCTCCCTTTGCCCAGACAAGCTTGGTAAGTGCCTTACTGTGATCCTGTGTCTCCTGTGCAGTGGGCCTGGTGAGGGGAAAAGTATAGGGTTGTGCATGTGGCTTTTCATTAAAGGTCCCTGCTAGTCCTGAGCCAGCCATGTTTCCTCCTTCACAAAGACCTGCAAATAGAGCGAGCAGAGTCCAGGTGGTTGCCATTCTGTTGGCTGGCCTTCTGACTTGCTGTTACTTCCTCCCCACAGACCATAGGATCTGCTTTCTTTAAAATTAGCAAGCACTTACATGGAGGAATGGGAGGAGGATTCTCTTTGGCGATGAAAGTGTGGCAAATGGTGCGTGGATCTTGTGATTTCCGTGGTCCTCAGCCAGTCTTACCATTGCCAAGTCCCTTTGATACGGGTCAGTAGTGTAGATCTCTCATCTGCTGCTTCAAAAATACTTTTGTTTTTTTCAGACAGGGTGGTGTTATATAGACTGGGCTGGCCTCAAACTCAAGATGGTCTTCCTGTCTCTGCCTCCTGAATGCCAAGATTATAGGCATGTGTCACTATGCCCAGCAAGACTTAATTCCTAAACTACTGATTTTGCTGTTTTTTTAAGGAGGTACATGAATAAGTAATTACTGAAGATCCTGGGTCTCCTCTCAAGCCACACAGCAGCTGATAGATTTTAAATCACAGCAAGGCAGCCCTTATCCATAACTTGGTTTTGTGTACCAGTGTGACCGAAGGCTGATGATGGTTGGTTATATGGAAAAATTTAAATAAATTAGCATAATGAGAAATAATTGAGAGAGTTACATGTGAATTTGACCTGTTGGACTAGTCACCGACCTTTGCACTGTTACTGATGTATCTGGGGTCTTAAGTTTGTTAACTGAACTGTTTTCTGTGTGTTGCTGTATTTTGGTATAATTTTATTATAAAAGCTTCTCAAACATTAGACCAAGAGCTGGCTGATTTGTCCACATTGTGTTGGTTCGGCATCTTCACACAGAGTTCTTGAGGATTCTGTCTCAGTAAGAACTGGTAAAAACTGGCAAACACTACTACCAACTCAGCTGTCCATCCCCACGCTGGAGCCACTCTGTTACATTGCACTGTTGCCCCATACCTGCCTGTCTCTCTTTTTCTTCTTACATACAGTATTACAAAGCTACAGGATAAAAAGGGATCTACTGTACTCCTAGTTCTTGGGTATTTGGGGGTTTTTGTTTTGTTTTGTTTTAAAGGGACTTGAAAGTAGTGCAGATCTCCAGGGGTTTAACTAAATCTTAGCATAAGCAGCGTGTTGAGTCATTAACCTCCGTTATCAGAAAGGAGGTTTTTCTTGGACTGACAAGACGGCTCAGGTAAAGGAGGCACTTGTTGCCAAGACTGAAGACTTGCGTCTGATCTCCAGAACTCTACAAGTTGTTCTCTGACCTTACACCTGTGCTGTAGCACACGTGAACCCCCCAACACACACAAAAATAAATACTTTTTCAAAGTATGTTTTCTTTACTGGGAGTCTGCTGTTTGGATAAAAGAAGGCTGCAGACTGTGAACTCTGCCCCTCCTGTCAATGTGCTCTGGACACCCGGGGTGTGAGCTGGTGATAGGTGGCTTATGGCCTCCACCACCTTGCACCCTGTAACCCCAGAGAGCTCACCCTCAGCATGGCAAGAGATTCCTCTTCACAGAACAGTAACTGGGAGATAGCCTTAGCACGATGAGAAATGCACAGGTCTGTCTCCCAGTTCCTGGAGCAGAGCTGCCGCCACCAGGAGACTTAGCCTTTGTCATTTGCTGCTTGGCAAGAATATATTTTATTCTAATGAGTCAACAGGGGCCTGGTCTTCAGAGCACCAGCCACATACTTAGAGGGTTGACACCTTCCAACTGGAAGTAGAATTCATTAGCCAGTGATGGGAGTCGTCATGACTATACTGAGGTCTCTGTAAGACCCGCAGGCTGGAGTCTAGAGAGCTGGCTTGTTGGGTCTCCCCTTTGCCTGTCCCGAGTGTTTCCTTTAGCAGCTGCTCCTCTCTTCTCTGCACTGTGCTTGGTGCCACACAGACACCACCAGAGCCGTGCTGAGTTCAGGGGGCATGTTCGTCAGTCCTGGAGAGCAGCATGGGCACTGGATTCGTCGCCGCTCACCAGAAGACAGGCAGCCTGCTACTTGCATAGTGTCTGCCGGTATGCAGTCAGGACGTCCATAGGACTGTGGGTCTGTGTCTGCAGCAGAACTGCCTCAAGTCTGCTGTAAGGAGCTGGTGATGACTTTATCTCAGTCTTCACATTTCCAGCTCATTGTAGATACTAGGTGGTCAGATTGATCTAACAGCTCTAAACAAGCAGTTGAATGAATAACGTAAGCCCTGGTGTGCTGTTTGGAGGTGTTTAAGTCTTGCTGTGTGTTACCATTACCAGCCGCACAGCTGTGAAGGCACAGCAGTGAGAAGAATGTGAGTGGGAGCTCTGTGTGTGTCCATAGCCTCAGCAGGGGCAAATAGAGTTTTAATTAATTAATTTATTTATTTATCTATTTATCTATCTAGTTAGTTAGTTAGTTAGTTAGTTAGTTAGTCTTTTTGAGACAGGGTCTCTCTGTAGCCCCAGCTGTCCTGGAACTCACTATGTAGACCAGGCTGGCTTTGAACTCACAAAACTCCGCCTGCCTCTGCCTGTGCTGGGATTAAAGGCATGCCCCACCACGCCTGGCTAAATAGAGTTTTTAATAAGAACCTGCTCCTTCCCAGGTGCTTGGTATCCCTTGGGCCTGCAGTTAGTGACAACTAACAGCATGGTCCCGTGTCCTACTTTAAATTTGCTTCAACACATTTGAGGCCCTGAAGCCTCTGAAAATTTCATGTCTACAGGTTTCAGTGGCCTCTTTCTGCTGGGTTGGGGCACATCGCAGACTATGAAGACGGCCCTCCAGAGCCCCAATCTGAGGTAATAAAGATGCATGATCATCACCACAGCTCACTGCACTTAGTGCCAGATGTGCCCATCAAGTTAGTGTTAAGATCTGAAATGACGTAAAATCACTGTCCTACAAATATGTTACTCAGATTTTCAAGTAGAATAAAACCACTTGAGCAGGTATTTTTAAATGTTCTAACACCTTATTCTTTTGGAAGTAGGGTCTTTTAAAGGACATAATAGATAAAATGTGGTTTGATGAATGAGAACATATTAAAGACATAAAGTGAAAAATATAAAGCGTGGAGGAGAAAAAAAATGGGTCCTTATTACACGAGAGACATGCATTTGCTAATGTCCGGATTAGCCACACTGTCAGGTTCTGAGAAGGCTATGGGCAAGGGAGGCAGCCAGGGCCCAGTACCACATCTCCTGTCTGTTTTACTTAGTCTCCCCAAACCAGCTTAATGTGAGAGATGGTTCTAGGCTAATGCAGGTGACTAGCAGACCCGGTGTTGACAGATATATGTCATAGACACCAAGGAGTAAAGACTAGGGGAGCCATATTCCTCTTGGTGCATACTGTCTTCCAGTAGCAGCAGGACCTGGCCAAAAAGACACAGTGAGGCAGGGAGGGGGCTGACGGTCTGCGGGGGCGGCCCCAGGACTGTGATGGAGGAATACAGGCAGCCTACAGGAGCAGCCTCCAGACCCCAGGACTGTAATGGGGGTGGTGCACAGGCAGCCTGTTAGAGCAGTCCCAGGACTGATCAGGGAGGGCTCTCCAGACCTGTCCCTTGCTCTGGCTTTGCACTCCATCCTGGAGCTTTTCAGCGATCAATCTCTTAATTTCCTCTGTAGAACTCAGACTGAAATTCTTCCTCAGACATTTCCAAGACCTGAAGAGATGGGATTTCTCCTGCCTGCTGGTAATATTTATGGGTGTGTGTTTGGAGTCCATTGTGGAAGCTTATCTTCAGTCCTGGGTCTCCTAGGGGATCTGATCAGTCCCCAGCACATTTTGCTGGGCTAGTGGCAGAGCTACAACAACTTCATGCTGCCCAGAAGAGACTCAAAGTGGGGCACTGCAGGGGAGGGCAGCTTCCACTTATTGTTTAAGAACAGGGAACTGAAAGGTAAGTAAACTTCACAGGTTGGGGAAGTACATAGCTCAGTTGGTAGAGCGCTTCCATAGCATGCATGAAGCCCTGGGCTCTGTCCCCAAACACCCCCTAAAAACAACTGGGCATGGTGGCATATACCTATAATCCCAGCACCTGGGAAGTGGAGGCAGGAGGATCAGAGTTCTTGGCTGCCTACCAAGTTCAAGGCCAACCTGAGGTACATGAAACCCTGTCAAAATAAGCCACTGGATTCTAGCTGTCTTTAAAGTGGCTGACTGGGAAGAGATGCGTCCCCTGCGTGCATTCTCTTCAGAGACACTGAGGAAGGCTAATGTCGTGCACACCCTGCACATTGCAGCTCCACAGCCCCTTGAGGAGGACCCTCATCTAGGTCTTCACGTGGGAAAAGCTGGGGAGAATGCAAGGGTCTCATACTTGAAGGCAGGGGCCTTGGAAGAGGCGTGAGGTCATGATAAGAAGACGGCATAGCTGAAGCATACCCAAGGGAGGAGAGGCTGCCACTGAGCTGGTCTGAGTGGCACCTCTGATGCACCTGAGAAGTGTGTATGAGCTTATTTGCAAACAAGACTTTTCCACTTTAGAGTCAAGAAAAGATGAGGGCATACTGGATGTGGGTGGGGTCTAAATCCAGCATCACTGGTATCCTTAGAAGAGAGAAACTTGAACAGAGACAGAGACTTTATGAAGATGGAGGTAGAGCCTCCAGTGGCATGTAAGCCATAGCAGGTCAGGGAGCTGTGGCACCAAACACTGGAGGGACAGCAAAACACTGGACAAAAGGAGCTCAAGGAAGGATGGATTTATTTCGG